TTTTTTATTTCAAATTTAAGAAATCTCTTTAAATAGCTTACTATCATTACCGCCAGATATCTTCAAGCAAACTATGACGAAATAATCTAATCTGAACCAAGGACTTTTATTAATTTGTGTGTGATGTATGTAAATCTGAATTCAAAACTAAGTTAAATTTCCACAAATCATTGAAAATCTGCAGGTTTTATTAGATAGCCGTTTTGTTTTTGTATGAAGTCGCTCAATGTGGTCCCCACCCACAACGACTCATGGTAAATAACCTAGGATAGTCCGATCACATGACAAACGGAATCACATTTAATTACTGCGACGACGAGTAGTTGTTTTCATACCTAACATTCTTGATAGAGATGAAAATTAACAGAATAAAAAAAGAATTTTGAATTTCGAAAAGCGATCAGAGTACCTAACTATTTGTGAGTAATAAAAGGAAATGGAAGATTTGGTCAAGTGGTTAATTAGTAACACTGTTTTCAAAGTTATGCAAAGAGCCAAGAAATTTCAGTTGAGTGTGTTGGAAAAACTGGAAACATCAAGCAATATTTCAAAAGTTTCTTTTGCTCAGGCATGTGGCACCAGGGTAAATCCTGCGGCTGTGTAAACTTAGTTTGAATTCATAGGCTCACTGTATTGAAATGAATTCATTATAATTTACACCATATTTAGAAAACAAAGTCTTGATGCCTATGACAAATTAAAACGAAGTTCTACGGGTGGGTCTAGAGGCCACTTTAACATCAGCTTGGTCTCTACCATCAACAAAATATCCGAGTATAGAACTTTTTATCAACCATTCATTCCTTTCTGTTCAACTACGAATAGTATTTTATCATAAATGCTATGAATCAATAATCCAGTCGTTCGTTACTTTCAATTAATGAATCAGCCATGTGCAACTTAGAACCTGATGCATATTTGCATCAGTTGAAGTTACCGCACCACACACTGCGAAATAAAATTATCAAGACCAATCTAGGAGTTGTAGAAATAGAACAATCACTTCTGGGGTTTTTAGCTAGTCTTTGATTTTCAACATTCATGATGACCAAACTAATTTTTGTAACGAGAATAAGCACTTTCAATAGTCGGCATATAGATTAATACGTATGTTACTGTCACATGACCAATCAGTTCACATAAACTGTCGAGTTCAAGTGTGATGTTTTGAACGCTAGCTTATTTAAGTCAAACAACCACTGAAAATTACGTGGATGTATTGCCTAGTTCTCTTACATTACTTATGGCAAATAACAATGATATGAACATAATTTTACTCGATTGTCTATATTATTGCGTCCCACCTCAGTCATAAGTAACATAGTCTAGCTGTAATCTAAATAATAAGTTTTAAGTTTCTATACACCAGCGTTATATGCAAAATCAAAAACAAGACTAAGGCTCACCCAGATGGGAACCATATATTCAAAAACTCAATAACGCCGTTTTATTTTCCCAAGAAACTTTAAATGTAGATACTTTAAAATTGATCGAATTGTTGTTGTTTGTTCATACAAAATCGCTAGTAAATTTATTAACGCCTACATTAGCAATGAAACAAATGAATGAATTCTGCCAAAAAATATTTGCCAATATCACATAAAATCTACCACCAAAAATCAATAATTGTTTGCTTTTCTGAAATATGATTGGTTATTCGACTAGCTATTTGCTTTTTTATTTGTGTGCTTATATGTGTGCACTTTCAGTGAACACAAATTAGTTGTACATATGAATTGCAAAAAAACTTATTAGATATCAGTGGTATGAAGTTAATTTCACCCAGTTAAATTTATCACGTAGGCGGGGAATTTAACTGAAATCCATCTATTGATTCATAAAATACACATTTGAAGGATGAAAAAATTGTGTTTGTATTTCCAAAATTGTTTTCCCAAATAGTACGATTAATGATTACTCTATTAACATTTCACCAGTTAATTTCAGTTACTTTTGAGTCAGCAAATCAATACCATGTGCATGCATGTTTTGCGCCTAAAATTTGTATATTAAAAATTTGGCATCTAAACTCTTTGAGGCGATTAGTTTTTTATCTCACTTGACTAAGATATCACTTAATGTGTGTGAATAATTAAAACAATGTCCATAAGGTAAATACTTACTAAATCTTATAAGTTGTTCACCATGTGTAGCTGCAATATAGATTCCCTAGGTATTCGACATCGAATATCATGTTTAATCACTCAGCACTAGATTTCAGGAAATAACTAGTATAATTAACACCATAATTACTCCAATGTTATCTTGCTTGCGTATAACTTGGTTGAGAAAATAAAAAGAATGAACCAACAAAAACATGTTGCTAGTACATGAAATCATCAGCTGTGTATTTGAATCATACTAGGTGTAGCTTTCACGGTTGAAGCCTATGCTGTAATTACAGTCTATGGTTGAGAAGGTTGGATGACAACCTATAATCAATTTTGATGAAGCTGTTCCAACCAAATTGTCTGTCATCTTAAGTTTGATCTTATTGTCATAACATACTTCTTAGCTGGTTGGTGAAAGCTCTTCCTATTTTATATTACGTTAATGTTGACTATCCTGTCAAGTGACTATGTTGTGCGACACGTAGAAGTTATAGATTTCGAATGAAAAGGACGATATGCATTAGGCTACATAAGAAAATTTGTTGAAAACATGCATCAAGTTCTGATACACTAGACAATAGATGAGATTTCTAAAAATTTTCGCAAAAAGAATATTTCTTAAGTCTTAGGCTTTAAATCCTGATTTAAGCGGTACTGGGATGTGTACTACTTACGGCAAAGCTTATAAGTAGTACGCAGTGGATGTGCAGCAGAGTTTCGCCCTCAACTTACGGACAATGATAGGATTGTCGAATCCGGAAGCATAACGCGACCAGAGTGTTTTGAAGAATAGAAGATCTGTGGAAGGAGATAGCTAAAAATACACTTGTTTTTCAAATGGATGTTTTATGATAAGTAGATTTTTTCTTCAAATGAATGATTTAACCTACCTAAGATTCCATCTGCGTTTGCTACAGTACCTATGTAATGCAAGAGGTCATTTGCCAAAGAACGCCTTCAGTATAGCATTGGAATTATGCCACTGACACTCATTTCTCATCTTACCTTGAAATTAGTTTTCAGTCATCAATCACTGACGTTTATACATTTTGAATATTTGTACGTGTTAAATAACTTAATTACTAATATAATGAACAATTAATTGCTTATTGCTTCTATTAAATCTTTTTATAAATAAAAAGTAAGTTTGATCTTTCGATAAAGAATCTGTTTTTGGACGTAAATGGGTGTAGATAACGTGTATGTAATCATTTCGGTACATTTCAACATCCGGAACTTAGCTAATCAATCACGTGATTATTATTAACTGATCTAAATTTCGGACTTCTAACAGTAGATAATAGTGAAGTAATTTTGACTGAGATAATTGAAAGCTTCTATGTAGGCAAGCAATACATGTTTCGTAACACTACCAGAGTTGGTAATGCACGTCAACAAAAATATTTTAATCTTCAAAATGCTATGACAATAATGCCAGTCATTGTGATAAAGCACACTATATTATATAAATTTATAAAGTATTTGGTACTGTCAAACCTATAGAGTTAAAGCTGTTAACCGTAACTATTTAGCTTTCAATGTCAAAAAATACTCATGCCTAGTATTATCTTTTTTAATGTTTGTTTCACCATGAATGCTAAGTAAGTTATTGTTTTAGTGATGCACTGGATGAAAGACATACTTTTTTGGGATGTATTATAACTATGAAGTAATTTGAATTTACGATCATCGAAGTGTTATCGCTCGTCAGCAGTATTTTTTTGTCCTATTAATTAGTGTGCACACAAACAACATGGAAGCTTTATAAAGATATTGGAAAATACTTACAACTTTATACCAATGATCTACAAAACAATAAATTTAGGACCATTAGCATGAATTTTCTATAAGAAACATACTTTGATTTTACAAACGATGAGTCCCATACTGGGACGAAACCCGTCTAGTGCTTCCAGGTTTCTAATGGTGGTTTAACATTGATCGATTCATGTTTTAAACGATAAAGGAACAACTACAATATATAAGATAGAATGTGGCTAGTGATGGAATCCAGAGCGTGTATTCCGTCCTGTTTTGGACTCGTCAGTTGAATGTACTTGCGTCTCAAAGTTGGTGGTAACTCTGGGACTTTAACCCTGTACCATTTGCCAACCAGGACTGATCAAATTCCTGTTAAAATATCAGCCATGAGAATCCATATCATTTCAAGTTGAATGAAATTAGAGTGTTTGAAAACAATCGCACCCAAGTTAGTTCTTTTACAAATTAACCGTAACATTTCTAATTTATTCATGTTCTTAAGGATTAGTGATTAGCATAAATGTTGGGAAAGTCATTTTGCGATCTGCATAAGTTTGTCATTTGAACTAAGTTACCTAACCGATGAATTAAATGTTCATAAACTAACGGATTTAGGTATAATAATTATTCCTTAAAAAATTCGCCATTACACTAATTTTGACTAATCTTCAAGCTTCAAAGTATATTATGTTTATCATCTTTCACAATAAGAAATATTAATTCGAAGATGCTTTGAACCAAATCACTATTTTGACAATAATTATAGAGGTACCCTAGTTAACCACTGTTATCCTCCAATTCTCCTATCGTTTTAGTTCGGCACCGATTATGGTGATCTTTTTTATCAAAAATAAAATTGGATACTAGCTAGTAGTAAAATCCAAATGACGTGAATCCTCCTATATGGAATTTTCCAGCCTGCATATACCTGCATTTCAATATCAATGTTCACACTATGACTACAGTCCAAATAACTACCAGCTTGTTGTCTTTTCAGCCCGTGTTTATGATTATTTTGGAAAATACTTACTATTAAGTTATCAAAAAAGGATTACCAATTATCACTAAATTTTATTAAATTATATCATTTTTCTGTATGATATTTTTCATTTCAACTTTACAATTTAGGGTGATGATGGTGTTGTTGGCTGTTATTATCAATCATCAACAAATACAGTGAATATTCGAGCTGGATATAATGATATCGCTGGTAAAACAACAAATTTTTATAATGGGCCAGATGAAGTAAGTCATATGTAATTCATGTTATTAACAAATAAACAGCTCACTAAATATCTAAACGCACCTTGATATTAGAGAGGAAATATAGAAAAACCTAATCGTTTTGATCATTTAGTTTGTGCCGATAATGTGATATTGTATTGTTCAATTTCATTCACAATAATTACTTAAGGGTTGTTAATGACAGATAAATCTCTGTCGACATCAAGCACTATTAAGGAAATTGTGGTGACGTACTTGTGATTGTATTGGGGAACTCCAAATTATTCTTCAAAAAAGTCCATACGGGCCCAGGAAACGCCTGTAAACGTTCAGTCCAGCCAGCGTTGAGTAGAACCTCCTCAGTAACATCTGGAAATTGAAGGATCACTCATTACAACTTTGACTGGATATTCACCTATACTGCTACTGTATTTAGCATGGTTCCGGAAACTTCCAGAAGCTCAGGGTCATGTGTGACTCTATAAATACCCTCAATTTTTTGTAATAAGCCAACCCTGAAGTAAAAGAGTATCTTCGCCATCCTCACCTTTTCTGTTGTGTTCAAGTTACCGTGTAGTTTTAGTCTGGGGTTCTTAAAATCTGCTAGGAGACGACATCCAACGTTTATTTAGCATACTTTTCTAATTGTAATAAAAAATCTGTAATTTATCTATGTCAAGAAGTTAATTTATTTTTGTGCAAAACAAAATAGATGGAAATGAACGTACACACAGAAAGTGTGATGATTAAAAGTATAAAAACGGAGTTTGTAACAAAATTTCGCCTGAAGAATTTTTATGTAAATCCTTCTGTAACTCACGTTTCTTCCTGATTTTCTTTTGAAATAAGTGGATTATTGATGATATTACTGACTTGTGAAAACACCAGTAGGTGACTTACATAAATAAATGAAAAAGTGTTGAGACTGAAGATTATTTATTGCATTTTATTGGAGGTTTAAATCTTGTTCAGTCTACTTTGTCGTCACCAGTTAATACTACCAGCATTCTTATTGTGAAACGTTTCAAAAACGAATGTATCAAACCTTTTGTTAAATAAGTTCTCGATTCCTACAATTTTTTTGTTAAATGACCAAATGGCTCCTGAGGTCGAATTTCATTGTTGATCATAATTGATTCCTGGTTTATTCAAAAAAACCTTTTTACTTATACTTTTGAATTTCTCCTATCGTTTTCAAGAAAATGTTGGCAAATAATCAAAAAATTTATTGATACTTCCCCGTAATCTGTGTATCTACTTAACAACTAACACAGAAAATCAATATTGCTTCAGTCATTTTATTCCGTAACCACATTTTGTTATTTCTTTTAAACAATTGGTTTATTTATTTATTTCAAAAAATAATTCATTTCTTGATCGGTACTGTACTTAGTTGCTACTTAATTATGTAACGATCGCATTTGAACTATTTCACTCTTCATTAAAATTTAGATTTGTGTCAGTACAATATTAACTGATTTACGTGAAAATCTATTTACACACACATATACGCCTATACACCCACATGCCGTTGCACTTTTTGTCAGTCCACATAAATATATACATATATTTCTCAGTGTAATTTGTTATTTATTTATGGTATTTCTTGTCTTTAGCAATCAGTTAGTCATAAACAACGTAGAACCCTGTGAATATGTGCATCGGTTCAAGTAACTACAGCACAGCAAGATGAAAAAGTATTGCACTACATGGATGTCAACATGTGCTTATGTACGTATGCATGTAGCCGCACATATGTACATCAAATAACTAAGCTTATTTCAAAGAAGAATACTTGACCTACTTTTTTCTTCAGTAGAGATAAAAAGAATTTTGGAAACGTTTCTACTTTTCTCGTGTTTCTTTATCGATCCATGTTAGATACACAGTTGCAAGCAAAAAAATGAGTAGAATGAGTTGAAAACCTCAAGTGCACAAAATGTACCCTGCAAAATGGAGTTGGGACAATCTTATGTATGATTAGTTGTAATGACAATGTCCAAATGGAACAAACAGAGTCGAAGTAAACCATGATATGAATGGTGATAATCATAGCTCATACTATATCTCATAATTTTGTAAAAATTAGTGTTCGATTTCTGATACCGTTGCTCATTTGCTAGTGATTCTTAACTTCTGAGAGTTTTCATTGTATTATCAACACTTTGGTGTAGATTTAAGATATCTAGATTATAAGTTGCAACCTCTAGTAGTTAACTAAATAAATTGAATTCCAGGATCGATTATTGAATGATATCTTGACTTATCATAAAACCTGATGATTTATGGATTTGACCTTTTATATGAGTTTATTAGCAGTATGTGTCTAACAGTATTCGTTTGTTCTAATGATTCTCTATTTGGCAATACTAGTTGACTATGAAAATTATTTTCCAATTAATACCATGAACTGTTAATCAGTCAGTATATAACGTTGACTAAGAAAATGAATATGTAATTCCTCAAGAGTTGTAGCACTGGGTTAGCTGTCGGAATTATGGATTTCTTTTAAAGAGGAACAAATAAATTGCTACATGCAGGCTACAACGAATAACTCTCAACTAAGATTGACTTTTAAGTTATTAAAATCATAGATCAGCTTAAAATGGAATAAACTAAGAAATGCCGAAAATATACTCATGAAAATAATTGGTGTCATCAAGACAAACAATCATCCACATACATTTTCATTGCGCCTGTATAGTGTTGTCTTATGGACAAAAATTACTTCTTCAAGTGTTGCTTTCTATTTTAAACTCGTTTTTTCATCCTTTGACGTTTTTCCCTTCAACTTAGGTATTTTTTTTTATCTCTTAAATGTTTTCAAATGCATCATAAGCATAGCCTACAAATTATTTATTATTTATTGTCAGGACTGTTTATCCATAATGATAATACCCAGTGTTTATTAAAAAAAGAAGTGTATGTAACCGTGTCATCCTTCTCTCTTCATACTGCTTCCTTTCGGTGGATAGAGATTATTGCAGTCAGTTCAGTAATCAGTTTTCATGTATAAACATATGAAGTACTAATTTCAGATTTGACTGATATTTTATAATGTTTTGGCGAAAGTTTTCCGACATTTATGTTTTACTTATACTCATTAATGGTCAAATTTGAATAAATTGGACTGAATAGTATTTGATATAAATTAATCAGTAGCCTAATGAATCTATACATGTCACTATATCATAAGATTAAATTGATGTAACTAACAAACTAACACATATAGTCCTGATACCATCTCTGTTTATTAGCTGGACAGATGTTGGTAGGTTTTTCTGTAGATGCTCTAACTTTCTCTGTCATTTGTTTCATGTAACGGCAAAATACTTCACACAACAGATTTATGTACATGACTAAAGTTACATCTATGCTACAACACATTTATGAAAGTGCATATTAGTAAGTAGTCTTAGAGAAGAGAATAACAACAGCAACATTTGCTTAGTTGAATAATAAAAACCATTGAAATTCTTATTTCTAAATCCTAATTTATATATAGAGACGAAATAATCTCTTCCAACATAGTAATAAGTACATTCAATGCCCTTACCAAAATTGATTGTTTCAATGGTGAACATCCAAGTAATGTTTTCTGGCTGCGCATCCCATATGAGGTACACTACACCTGTAAACAATTGATAGACTATTCTTACGACTTTTTTTAGATCTATTAATGATGATATGAATATTGAACACGAATGAAATTTTAAGTAATCACTGAATGATTGATTACTGCACAATCAAACTGACTGATAGATATCTGTATGTTGTGTGTCTGGAAGTCAATCTTCATTTTTAATTCGAGTGGACGTCGATTTCATAGTCAATAAACTAACGTATCCCACTTATTCCATCCAAATAATGTTGGCTTTCGATTTTTCACGCCTACAGTTGGTTGGTTCTCACGACGTCTAACATGTATGGTTAAAGGTGGAGTGATTTTATTCTCAGGAACTTAATCTTAAAACATTTATGATGTATTAACATTATGAGTTTCTATTCTCCTATGCGTAAGCTTATTTCCGTCGTGTTTCTTGTACAAACTCTACTCTATTCTCGAAATCTACTTTTCTCCCTTTTGTTTAGATTTAATTTTACTGACTTCCGCTAATTGAGTTACTTATGTTAGTGTGAGATGATTTCTCAATGTTCGAAATAGTTTACATCTAGCCTGTTTCATTTATTAATACATAAATTATTCCTCTGGTTATAATCTTCTCATTTGAAGCTTTCCATTCCAACATCCGAACAACTAAATGTTATATAGTAAAAACGCCAGCATACATATAGAACGTACACAAGAATATTTTAGTATCTTCGCAATCCATCTGCGCTAGCATTGATGGACTGGAGATTGAACCGTCTTGATCTAGTCTTGAGCATCCACTGAACAAAGTCTATCTTGAAAGCAAGTAAAACTTCCAAAAATGAATGATAAAAACATAGTTTATATGAATATTACATAATCTGACTATGATTTATTTGTTAAACAACGTAGGTGATGGATTCTCGAATTCTCATAAAATTGTTTTTTTTTGTTCAACATTTTTTAATTTATCAGATCTATTCGAGCTCATTTATTATTATTATTCATAGGAATTATTAATAACAGATGGTGAGCATTTAGGTGGTACATTTAATGCAATGGATGGTACACTACAATGTCGTTTTAGACGACGTGTTCGACCATTAGATACAGTTCATCAATTAATGGATTTAACATCACCTAATGCATACCATTTAATTGTCACTCGTGGTGTTGAACGTAAAAAAGACGGATTCGGTCGTCCTTTTGCCGGTGGCGAATCAGTATCTCAACGTCCGGTTGTCATTACTTCGTAAGTAATCAAGTCACTTTCATTCTTCATTTTACACTTTTTCTACAGACTAGTTTTTTTTTTCTATTGAAATCAGATTTTTAAAATATATTAGACCTTTTTTGTTAATTCACAGCAAAAACTATGGAATTATATATTGTAAAGTGATTAAGAAAATGGTAGTTGATCGTCCGTATACAAATGAGATAAACTAATGATAACATTTCTAATGATTGTTCACTGAATTACATGAGTTTAAATTGATAAGCTGGTCTAAATGAAGAGAAGTATTCGAAGAAATTAATTTTATTTTGTTACGAAAGTGAAGGTAGTAAATGACTTCATGTTGATAAATTAAGAGAAATACAATCTACAATCTGTTCTTTTCGAGATGTGAGCAAAAGCTATGGTTGTGCCAATTCGAAATCTTATACTATGAAAACAAAGCTTTAAATAACTGTGTTGTTTTCGATAAGTAAAAAGAGTAAATTAAATATTGGTAAAGTATTCCTGTTACGTTCTGATAGAATCATCCTAGTGTTAGAATAAACTCTGTTTCCTTTATTTTGATAAAAAATTATTTTCAACACTATGTTGCTTCAGCCTTTCGTAAGTTTGCGTTTGATCGGAAGGTACCTTGGGTACTGAGGGAGCATGAGGAGGAATAGCGTGTAAGGTTATCGCAAAAGAGGAAAGAACAAGAGAAAAGGCGAACCGACGATTCAGTAACCACAACTACCTCTAATCAGTCTGTACTGATACAAAATAAATAATAAGTCGTTAATACTAATAAACGCTTATTTTTAGAGTTATACAATCTAATCAGTGTAAAGAATAACGTCATAATGACCTGTGACTTTATAGATAAATACCATGTCTTCATGTACTAACTACTAACCTCTTTCCATCCTACTCGTGTTCTACCCTAATGTTCCACCTTGAGGCAGCTAGATACACGCATATTTAAATGATTTTCAAAGCATCCCTTGTCCATAAACACTTGTAGCGTGCCGATTCGGGCATGTTCTTACGTTTCGTAATAAGCTCGTTCAGATTGTCTTATCCAAATGACGTCTGACGGTTAATAAATCATAAGATGAATTCCGAGTATCGTACACGTTTATTGTAGCACACCACAATAAGGATAGCAGAGAAGCGAATTGGAGAAGGCTAAGAGCCAACTCTTTGGATTACAATGCGAGTGAATGAATGAAGCGAATAGGAGAAGGCTAGTGAGCCAACTCAAAGAGATAGAGTATGACTAAGAATATATAGTCAGATAAGAATAAGACAGACATATGACAAGCGAAATAGGTATGCACACACATGAATAAAAACGACGAATGATTGACAAGGTCAAAAGCAAGCGATACAAATCATGTGAGTTCATGGGAATATTACGAGATTAACATTAAAGCGAAAAGGATGAGTAAGTGCGTAAGCGTAAGCAATGCTCAGTCGTATAAGCTCATACAAAGCAGATAATAAAAAATACCAATGGTACATATGAGTTGTTGCTATACAAATGGCTTGGTTAAATAAACTAATCGAAAGGGCTTAACCAAGTTAGATGTAAGAGAGCTGGAATATATGTGGAGGCACTACACACTGAACATTCAACATATCGAAGCTATATTATTTTACTTTGCCAATCGAACACAATTAACACTGATTACGAACAGTTATTCATCTCTTTTCATCAATTTTATTATAATTTTTGATTATTAATTCAGTGTTAGGTATATATTTGTAAAATCCATTGTTTTTTCCCTTTCCTTTTTATTAGACCTATTTATGGCAGCATGACAGGTTTAATTGGTCGTGGTTCTGCAATAGCTAAAACTCACGGATGTCTTATGGTATTAGCTTGGGTATTATGCGCCAGTATTGGTATTATACTAGCTCGTTATTACAAAGATGTATGGCCTAATTCTGGCCTACTAGGCGAACGCGTCTGGTTTCAGTCACACAGAATATTACAAGGTGTATGTGTTGGGTTAACATGTATCAGTATAATTTTGATATTCATCTATTGTGAAGGTTATTCACAAGCAACAGCATATCCATATTATATACATCCAATACTTGGCTTAATTGTCTTCTGTTTAGCATTAATTAATGTAAGTTTTGTGTATGATTCATGGAAATTTTTCATAGTTTCTTGGAGTATAATATATGTATTATAACAGACTGATTTCATAAATAACTGAAGCATTGAAATGACCTACTTGATAGTTTGTTGGCTGGACTGTAACCTGAACCTTCAAACAACATAGTTGTTAAATGATGAAATCTATGACCAATTAAATCAGAACTATAAATTATACACGAAAAGATTTAGCCCAGATTAGACGGCTGAATGAATTGCCAAAATAAAACAAATGACTAATCAACATTAACAAAGTAATCGACATTCTCCCACTTTCATCCGTTATGTCATACATGTGTAATTGTCAAAAAACATTATCGTTGCAGTTCTCTTTTTTATCCGGATTCATTCTGTCGATCTCTAAACTAAAAGATCTCACATTGATTTTAGGTCATAATGTATAAAAATATCCATACACCTATCCGTTAGATACACGGTTAAATTTGTTGCCTGCTCTCTGCTCCCATCTTACTATCGTTTTCATTTTGTTTCCTGTTAGACTCCCGCTTCATTCATATTATTTCAGACATTGCACACAACAGGTGAAGCTTAAAGTTGAATACACAATTCTGGTCTTCATTGATCAAATATAAAGAAGCTGCCTAAACCGGAATAGTGTCAAAATGATGAGAATTGTCTCCCTCTTTTATCTTATATTAAATTTAAGTAGACTACGAAATTCCTTATTAATTATCTGTTGAACTCAATGTTAAATATGTTCGATAGTATACGAAAATCAAGCAGATATGATAGGTAAAAGTCCCCAAAATTAAGTGTTTCACTCGTATAACAGAACATAAACAAGTACTCTCTGATGTCCACAATAATTCAGGATGTTCAGCTATTTCATGATTCAAACAAACTGATTGATTTCTTTCTCAACTAACTAGCTCTTATTGATGCTTGCACAATGTAAAGTTTCATCAGGTAACCTTGTACACTGTAAAAATTTTTCTGTTGCTGTTCCTGCATTATAATTCACTTACCAAGTACAGGCTTATGTACCCGACTTTGGGTATATGTGTCTAACTGGCTAAACTGAAGCAGTTCGAGCACGGTCAAAGTCACTGCTGAAAGTTGAGTATTTCCATCACCGACCCCCACTACTCCAATGTTACTGGTGTACACTTTGTGTACATTTTCTCCGGTACTCTTGTTTTCATTATCTTCTCGACATATATTATACATGTCTCATAGTCTAGTTTTTTCATAAAATATCTAGATATATTGAGTCTTCTTGCCTAAAAAACAACTCTTTCTTCGATATTCAATATTTACTATATCACCTATTTAATTTGTTCTGAGTTTGTTTTTCATATTTCATTCTTTTTTTCAGCCAATTATCGCATTGTGTCGTTGTAATCCAGCTCATGAATATAGACCTTGGTTTAATTGGATACATTTTTTCATTGGAACATTTGCTTATGTTCTATCTGTACCAACAATGATGCTAGGTTTACGTATGCCTGCTGCTGGCCTACAACTACAATTTATTAATTATCCATTATGGATTCTAATATTCTTTGTAATCTTCCAATTTATGATTGAAATTATTTTGGAGGTACATGGATGCTTCTATTACCGTCGAAATAAAAGTAAAGCATACATTTCAGATTATTATTATTGCTTATTAGTTTCAGTTTATCTTATTGCTTTGTACTTTCTGTTGAATGAGATTCTTCATAGAAAAATCAATCTGGTGGCTTATATACTTGATACTGGTTGCTCAAAGTTTAATCACCTAGTTTCATAATCGGGAACGTTATCATTGAGTTCAAGGTTTAGAAATTTACACTGTTGATGGATTTTGACGACGTAATCTATAGATGAACATAGCATGTTCGATTTAAAGTTATTTAGACTAGTGGTGAAAGTGCAACTTCCTCTGTAGAATTAAGCGCAAAGAGATAAAACAAGAATAGTTGATTACTCCGTGATTAATCAGTGTACCAGTAATAGTTTTTTTGATAATATATAAGTATATGATAACTAACCTATTATGTTTTAAATATTGTTTGGGTTCAAAATTCTCTTAATAAAAGGATGAATGTAACGAACCTTAATGAACTGGACAATTTATGTTCAACGACACTTCAACGAATTAAGAGGGGGAAAGAATGGAACTTTCAAGAGAGCTTTCATATCTCCAGAAAATACTCATTATACAAGTAAGGATGATTAGTGTGTATAATGCTAGGTGGTTGGAGATAGCCGGTAACACCCCGGTTCTAGTTTTCGTGGTAGTTGGCATTCATCAGTCAAGAGTACATGCAACCTTGTGGGACTTCGAACGGTCATCATGCAGCTCCACACTATGTATGGTATTCTACTAAACAAAATAACGACATAAAAAGGTGTGAATTCGATCACAAGGGTTATATTAGTACTGATGTATAAGACAGATCACAATGATAATTATTGTTGTGGTGAATGAGGTAGGTCATAATGATGATTTGCATCAATCCTCTACACAACTAATAAATGCGCACACATAATTTCAGCACCACAGTACTTCGAGTTCATTCTGTGCCGTTCACCATTAATATTGATTTATTTCCAGTTTGCTATTTCTTTTTTAGGATTTGATTTGAAATCATATAAAATTCCGCTTCATAGTTTGAAATATAATTTTAAAAATACTGTAATAGAAAAATCACTATAAATCCATAGATAAAATACTATTACTAACAATAATGGATATGAATTCCTAAACAATCCGTAAATTATTAAAGATCAACTTACTCAGTGCTGAAAAACATTTGAAGACTTTTGATCAGTGTTGGTACATTGTTCTAATTAAATAGTTTTATTCATGAAACTATCCCATCTATCATTTACGAAATTGGGCTACAATTTCCTCGCTAACAACTTATCTCGTCAACATTAAAATGTGATTTTTTTTTTCGCATATCAATGTTTTGTTTAGAAACGCAATGGAAACTTCACAATTAAAACTACCCAGTTTAGAATTTGTAATGCTGTTGAAATTCGTCTACTGATCTACAAAATTTTATCGACTGTATCGATATCTTAAGAAAAACAGGTCTGATTATTATGTAAACTCCAAAAAGAAATTAAACTAATTTATGTTTTAAAGTATACAGCACAGTCGTCATTTTAGTGAACAGCGATCATGTTTGAATGATTTCGTGAAGAGAGAGAAACATCTAACGTGTTCTTCCCCCACCCTGTCATCGTCAATCCAATGAATAAGTGGATAAATTTGTAAGAAAAACTTACTTACACCTGTCACCCTTGTAGAGCATAAGTCACCGGTCAGTATCAATGAGGAAAACGAGTGACTGGAATCATTATACACAAGTAAGGCATATCTAGTGACACCAAAGAGTTCCATTAGTAAAATATCTCGCAGGTGGGCAACTACTGATATATTTCAACATTTTGCTTGCACTAAAGCAGAAACTTTTATTCGTCCTAGTTACTGGATTCACATCTGCATGCAACAACAATAGGTGTTGTTACCTATTAGTTATCCAGTTATTTCGAAGTATTCCTTTTAAACAAGTTTCGTTTTATTAGGTACAACTAAAATCTCACAACTGATATATGAGTGTAAAATAGGATATATTGCTATATTAATACTTATGGCTTTTTCTTTACAGATAAACGTCGTACATATTTACTGGAGATTGACCAGTATCAAGCTGCAAAGCGTTTAAATAATGCACGTCAACCAAGACCTCCTGAACCGGAACCTTCTGTATGTTTTATTTAGTCCAATGTTTATTTTTTTATAAAGAAAACAAACCTTTATAGTGTAGATACATGTTAACTTGAGCGTTATTTGACATTAGTTAAGCAAAATTTTCAATGGTTTAGTTGAATAAAAAGAGACAATGTTATTTCGACTATATTTCAAAAGGCGTAGGCGCTATTATTGTTTGTGATATAACACACTCCTATATCTCATATAAGAATGAACTCAGGATAGCATATATAATACTTTCAGTGACTACATGACTCTGAATAACAGTTAGGTTAACTGATTACAAGGGTAATCTTCTCTTGTAAGTTGATATGTTTGGACATGTACCAGAAATAAATAAAGTCAAATAACCCCCTTAAGAACAGTTGACAAAAGTACATCTTCCTCTATCGCTACATAATTAATTGAAACAGATTGACTGTAGCTCAACCTTTGGTAATTTTGTACTAAGTTATCGAAGATGAAGTCTTAGCCATACTAAAAAATTTAACCCTCCGTTATGTGTTCAATACCAGTTTGTACTTTTATTAAACCTAACCCAATACTATTGATTCTCTATTTAGTTGTCTGGTTCATATTGTTTCCTTTATGTAGCTCTTCGCTTCTCCTGTCAATTTTTCTAGTTACTAGTTATCCAAAGTGAATAGTTACATCACACTGTATTTATGTCACACATAGTTTCTGTTCTAGTATGAGAATGTTTTGATGCGAAAAACAATTTTTATCTTTTTTTTTAAGCTTTAATTAAAACTTTTCACTCTGAATTATCCTACTGCATGTTTTCGTAATTCCGTACGGTTGTTGCAGTTATTACTGTTCACTGAATATTCTCAAAAATTTGTGTGATCAGTAAGGTTTGAAAATAAGCAAGACCAATGTCATCAAGTAGCAAGTGTTTTGTTGACCACATAATATTGATAATAATAACACTCATTGAAGTGAAAAAGGACATGGAAATAAAGGAGCCAGTAACTTTATGACTGAGACGTTCGATTTTCAACCAGCAGATTTGAGGTTCAAATTTTGCCCCAAATGGTTTGAACAGTCAGATTATGGTATTATTGATATTCAAATAAATATATAGGCAATTTGACGTAAAACTAAATGTATCACCTTTTAGTTGACAACTGAGATATTCATGTGTGTTGACTGTATCAGTTAGAAAGAATAATGATTCAAACTTTATTGTACGCCGAATATAGCCTCGGTTAATGTTAATGTAGACAGGTAGGTATCGACCCATCTCATTTTTTCTAAATATATATTAATGGACTTTTTATGAGTTTTTATGATAAAAATTAATGTAACTGTGACACTAGTTATTATTTTTCTTTTATGAAGACTAAATCTTTGGCATTAATATTAGTATGCTGTTGATTGTAGCATTGAACACGACTGCCAAACAGTATCTAATGGATTTGGTAAAGATATTTCAATCCTACATTGATAAATCGGTACATAATTTACTTAAGTAGTGTAATTATGAAATACAGTTGACAACAGTTTTTTCTTTAACATGTGTATACAAAGAAAAATTATTGTTAACTTATGCCGATACCTTTGTCTAGAAATACTCGAAGGTATAAAAATCTCAGCATTAGTCAATCACTAATTTCCTTTTTATTTCTACTTTATTTTTCCTACATTATAGGGTCGTATGTTCAAATATTTCATAATTGGACTGCATGCTACAGTTTGCGCAATTGTTGCCGTTATCCTCGTTATCATTATAGCCGTTAATTAATAGTTTATTTCCTGTTTCGCTTTTAAACTACTTTATTCTTTTATCAATAGTCTAAAAACTATTGTAAATGTGCCTTATATATATATACGTATATATAACTTAATACACTCTGGAAATTAACTTGCCATATTTATTTATGCTATCCCCATCACCTGCATAGACTCTGTTTCTTTTATTAATCAGTTTTTTTTAGTGCATATATCTATAAGTGTTTATTTCATATTGCTAGGCATATTCTATATGTAACACATCATCTAGTTTGAAAAACATTTCACAATTGAAATGTTTGAAAAAAAATCTCTTCGAGTTTGTTTTTTGAAACAAATAATGACTTAAATTGGCGCAAATTAGTTTTTTTTCACTAAATCTTTTTATCTCTTTAACTGTTGCATACAGCTTGTTTTTTAACTTCAGCTGGGTTTTATTTGTGCGCTTTTGTTTTTAGAAAAAAAAGAGTATAAATAAGACAAGTACAACTTACATTTGAAGATTCTTCTCTTAAATAATAAAATATTTCACGTCCACAGGTACACAGAGATGCACTTGCGGAGACGTATATATGTGTACGCCGTATGTGCTTATAAACGCACTTATATTTATAACTTGGCATTATTATTATTATTATTGTTATTATTATTATTATTATTATTATTATTATTATTATTATTATTACTATTTGCTATAATCCTCAGCATTAATAACGTTTTTACCTGTTCAATTCAATCAGTATTTGCATACCTATTTATCAATTCTATCATATGTTATCATCGACAATGAATTCGGTTGACCACGATCAAGGACAATAGCCTTCGTTTTATGCTAACCTTTCTCTTTCTTTCCTTGCATAATTGTTTCTCGTTGTCTATACTTTTCTTAATCTATAATATCAATATCCTTTTCAGTTACTGAATTCTTACCAAAACTACTGTTCACAATTGATATACATGCTCTTTTCATCCCTAAATGGCTTATTTCTCTTCTTCAAACACATCGTCTCGTTTTCTTTAATATTAAGGCTTATTTACTGAATCTGTCGACCTATGCTTTATTTTCTTTACAACTTAATTCCTTACAATGTTTGTGCTTTCCGGCTTGTTTTTGTCCTTTTTTTGTGCTTCTGGTTCGATTGTGTTTTACTTTAAACCAAATAAGGTGAACAAAGATGTTTATATATAATATATATACAAATTTATATACATTACTATTTTTTGCTTCCCTGTAACTTTTAGAACAAAATTTTAGATAACTACTCCTTTTTCCATTCGATAATAATAATTACAAACAATCTATGTATCAGTGTACCCAAAAAAGGAGTGTTGTCGTAGTGGGGACTCATCAGCAAGTTGTATTCGTATCTTGGCGTTAATGTTCACATCGAGACTACAACCGAATACTTAACGCCCCAAGCACTGTGTCATCCACTGAGTTACTATGTCCAAATAGCCACTAAGAGTTTGTATTACCTTTTATTTTATGTTAAGGACTCACTAATCGATTCACACCCAATGGGTTTTTGATTCGCACGTACGGACCAGCTGGTTATAGCCCTCATCGCTATCGATAAGAAAATGCATACCCTTAAATCTATATATATATATATATATATATATATATATATATATATATATATATATATATTATCACACGTTAAGAGAATTAGTATATAAAAATGGGAACTACATTGTGTGGAGAATTTCACACATTTAATTCCTTGCATAATTTCATACAAAACCAGATCATCATTTAGAAAATAAAATTTCATATCCGACTGTAAGGCTTTTTACGAACTCCAATATAGCCTAGGGATATTAGAAGTAGTATGATTAGAGATAAAAGTTCATAAAACTTTCGTTAGTAATTCGAATGAGGTATCAGAAATTTTCCTCACTATTCAAATTGTATCAAGCTTCGGATTGTTCCCGCAAATAGGAGTTCTCGCAAAAGGATATGGAATCATCCTGTTCTGAAAATCTTGTTGGTCTTGTCTTAATCAACTATTGTAGGGAGGTTCCCGAAACTCCGAATACTAACAATCATCATAGACTTGTTGGTAGCCGATTTCTAGAGTTAACTTCCTGAGTTCTAGTGTGAAAATGTATGCAGTGTAGTTCACTTGAGTGTTGGATTCACTTGAATAATGTACCCAAGGCCTATTCGTGTCAGAAGACTGTCTTAGTTACTCGGAATTACTTATGTATAAGTAGTATATGTGGTTCCACAATAAATTATAGTTGATTAAATGTAAGTTTACCTTCAAGGCAATAAAATAAGAACAATCAATCGTAAAGCAGTTAAACGTAAAATTGACGTGATCCAAAATGGCTGTCAATGCAAAATACGTTTCAGCAACTTAAAGAACACTGCTAGGCTTGTCGATAATTAATTTGACGAATGAGGTTGTTGTATCCCTGACCGTAAATCAGTGTCATGTGGCGAATACAAAATATCAATCAGAATCACAAAAGCACCAGGATATATAGGTCAGCTGTAAATCCTTATTGACCCACAACTCGTCGGCTGATTCCTCTTTACCCTGCCTCAGCCCAGAAGCACGTAACCGTCCTCCACAAAATCCGTCCTATTCCAAACAACCAAACCACATCATACCGTAAAGTGAGAAAATACATTTATACACGAGCGAGCCGAAAGTGGATGTGAATAGAAGACGAGTTGTAAATACTGAACCAGCTGTAGATTAGTAATGATAAATCACACAACGATAGTCAATGGGTTATTTAAAAAATCATAATAAAGAAATATACACAATCTAGTTACCGAATAATTATGCAATGAGGTTATACATGATAATCCATAAATCTGTCCTGGAAGTTATCATTTCTTTAATCTTCCTAATGTAACAGAGGCTTATCAAGAAGGCACATGATCTCTGACTAAGTAATAGAATCATAAAACATGAATTTCACATTGTGCGAGACAAAAATTTAATATAATTGATGATTGTCTCAAAATATTGTCAATCAACTGAAGTTAAATACGCTAACTAATTAATACCAACTTAGCAGTCATGAGACTAAAAGCTCACTGGAATTCGTCAAGATCTTAGGCTCGATAGCTTTTAGATTCATGAATGCTCAGTCTGGAGGAATCATGTACGCATCTAGTTCATATCGGTTTCAGGCACCGACTGTCTTCCATTTTGTTTAATGCCATTCATTAATGTAATTTCATTCCGAAAATAATATGATTTTTCACTAATTTATTTAATTTAATACGAAGTAAACAGATTGATGTATATTAGAAATTATAGTTCACCAATTATTTAAGCTTGGAAAGAGTTCAATTATCTTATTCCGATGAATATCGTATATTATGTAAACAGCTTTATCCTAATAGATGTTGATTGATGCTGCAAGGAAGAAACGGTCAATCTACATTAAGAAATACAAAACTGATAAAATGTAGATACATGGTGATATATTGATTTATCTTCAATATGTTCTTCATTCAATTCAGCAAAACAGTGACTAGGTATTAAAAATCTCTATATTTGCCTCCATTCGTCACATGCATAACATTCGATTATTTTGAATTCACGGAACAGCACATTTTTAGTCGTAATTCAACAACAGAAAAAAACGTGTAAATATACTATACTAATGATATTGTTTTAAGTAGTTAAAACGTTTTAGGTGATAATGCAAGAAACGTTTTCTTAGAGGTAATTCGCTGCAATTATTCCGACAATACTTTGAAAAGAAGAAGATACTTCTATGTAGGAACTCATATGAGCAAGGTTTATATCCTGATCTATATTCTTACTTATCCGTGCTTATTGGTAAATATTTGTCTTGATCTAATGACAGGTTATTTATATCAACCAACCTTAAGACTTGAAACGTGTGAGTTTGATTTGTGACTTGAGGGAACAGCGAAAACCATCCTACTAACTGTCTGATAGGTTAGTAAGCGGAGAGAGAAGATGACTTAATTGGGAATGCTATCGGATTTATTCCCGAGTTTGATTCACGGATAAATAATACATGACTGACAAGAAATGAGAAACATACTATTATTTTCAAACACGGCCATTAAATTATAAAAATGGAATAAAACGTTCATGCTTAAATCACAGATTATTTTGATCAGAAAAGAGTATGTCAATAGTTTTAAACGAATCCTTATGATTGCAAAACTGAAGCAGGGACAAAATTAAGTGTTAATACTTTACAGACTTCAAATAAAGGGAAATATATTCCCATAAAATAGATTCTGTTGTTTGTTTTTGTTACTGTTTTCCTACCTTCACATCAATAACAACGCATAATCCATGCAATTTCCAAACGCACTAACATCTGTCACTAAATTTATGGAGTCCAAAGTACTATATCCGCTGATCACCAACCATTTGGTAACTGTATGATGTAGGACGTCGTTCAGTGACATCATGGTATGTATAGGAACATTTTTAATTATGTACCTTTATGATGATATACAGTCATCAGGTTGCAGAGCCTGAAGTTTCTAGATGTTTGGAGAGAACATCGCTTGTTAATGACACACACATCATTTATTATTTTTCAAGAATTTCGTCCTCTTTCAGAAACCATATTCTATTTTCTGGACATATCGATTCATTTGTTCCTTTAAGGGCTGTTTAAAATATACTAAACTAAAAGCTCGATAGTCAGATGTATGTTTGGTTATTTTGCTCTCACTCCTGTAAGTCATTGTGACCTGTCATCTGTGAACACGTGTACGTACAAGCATTGTTTACCTGCCAATCTTGAATTAAATCGAAATACTCTGCTTTTTATTCAGGACAATTTCTATTTGAGTGTACAATGACTCATATTTGGGTTTGACATCCATTCATACATACATAAGAGTTATTTGTTCATTGTCGTCTGCCTAACCACTAATCTTTTTTTGAAATGGTATTTAGCACACTCACTTCGTGTTACAACTTGTTATTACACTGGAGAAAATGCAGTCATTATGGTAGTTAAGTCAATTGACTGCACGAATACAAACCAAATAAATATTGGAATGGGTGCTAAGCAAACTGTTTTACCAAGCCATCAACAAGTTTACGGTCAGTCGAACCCGTTATGTAGTTTTAAAGATTTCTTTTGAGATGTTGTATCAGCAACGTTAAATTTCTTATAAAAACCAAACGAATCTATTAACAGGCTGTTTGAATGACTTATTGGTTTATGATGAGGAGTAATTTTCTCGCACAAATTTTAGTATATATATATATATATATATATATATATATATATATATATATATATAACTTGATTAATCTGATCTGAATAGCCTATAATAAAATAGTGAGGTGCTGTCGTCAATGAAAAGACTAGCGAAAATTTCCAGTATCGAGTAGAAGTTACGTAATAGTCGAAAAATAGTAAGCAGTAAATTGAAAAGTGGCCTTATGAAATATTTGCAGACCGAGACAACTTGTTACTCAGCTGAATAAAAAGTATCCCGGAGATCTTGACAGTCAGCTTTCTGGAATATCGACTTTAAAAATTTTGCACCTATTCATTGTTAAATACTACTTATTGACTGACTGATTTTTATTGTAGTAAGTCTAATATTTTTCCGAGAAAATGAACTAAAATTAAACAAGTTTATAACATTTTCAACTATGATTCAACTATTGATATCACTAAAACTTAACCTAAATTTATTTATTTTTAAATAAATCTTATCAAATATCTAGTTTGATAAAACAGTGGACTATTAACATGTAAGTTATTAATGTAACGCTAACTATAGAAATATTCAATGCCAATCACCAGTTAAACAATAAAAATCAATAGTTAAACAACCAAGCTTCTCGAAGTTCATCCTAATGTGGATTTTCAGAAATGAATAGTATAAATAAATAAAATTGGAATATTGAACATTTAACAATCAGTTATACATTCTGCATACTTTTTTGTTTGTGCTTCTTTTATGCTACATGCATTTGTTATGGAAAGTGGTACTGTTTCAAGAAAGAGAAAGAAATACAGTTAACATTATCGTCTTAATGACTGTTTTAGTTTTATAAACTGTTTATGATTTTCATTGAATGAAATAAACAATAAAATAAACAATAATGATGTACACTTTCTCTGTTGTTTTAAAAAAAAACAAACATCCAAAACACATGACATGGAAATAAATTTTCAAGATTATTTTTCATGATTTGCTTTATTTAATAAACTATTTATCGTTAAGTTTCATTTTCAGCGATAAACACTGTGATAAAAGCAGTTAACTATGAATGGATGCACTGAACATCAACAATAAAGAAGAATAACAATGATAAATAGAAAAAGGTAGAGACGGAAATTCTGACTGAATACTACATGTTTTCATTGTGCCAAAACAAAGGCACGTTTAGATTAGATTGAAATTTCAGTAATTAGAGGTTTAAATTTC